ATAAAGGTATTTTTAGTTGGACCAGTTAATTTTTTTCTTTTTTGAGTGGCTAGAGCATATGCCACTTTGAAGGTTCAAGATCAGACCATAACTTTTCATGTTGTTTTGAGTATTTCGCCTGTTGTTTTCTTTATGTGACATTCTAGCAACTTAGACTTCATGGATTTAGCTGTATTCCTGGTGCCTGCCCTCCATTTTTGCCACCTTGTAGAGAGATGTGGAATATTAGGGTGGCTCTTCATACTAATTTACAAGTAGAGAGGAAGGAAGGTATAGATTGGACAGTGTTTTGATATTCTCATTCTAAAAAGCATCAGCAGTATTAATACTTCTGTAGACAAATGCGATTTTAAGCTACTATATTAGTGGAAAAAAGTTAAATTACCACTTGAACTGTTGTCTATATCCTATACTACAGATGTCTAATAATCCTTGATTTGCTAACTTTCAAATTGTAATAGAACCCAAGGGTTTTTTTTTTTTTTTTTCAAGATTTTATTTATTTGAGAGAGAGTGAGCAAGTACAAGCAGGGGGAGAGACAGGCAGAGGCAGAGAGAGAAGCAGGGAGCCCGATGTGGGACTCGATCCCAGGACCCTGGGATCACAACCTGAGCCAAAGGCAGACGCCCGACCGATGGAGCCACTCAGGCTTCCCTAACCCAAGGGTTTTTTAATGCTGCCATCCAACTGTTCGTTTCTTCTTCTGTCTTGTGGGGATTATATTCATACTTTTTTCACATTCAACATTCAACTTTTAAAGAGCATAGGAAGCTATTGGAGTCATTGCTTTGGAAGTCTAAATTTTGTTAGAATATTTGTAACCCTTGTAAATGGTAGGGTTTCTTGTTTTGCTTTTCGGATGTGAAACAAATAACCTGCTTCCATTTACCTGGGCCTGGGTTATTTGTTTTAGGAACAAACTGTAATTCTGCGCTGATAAAATAATTTGCTTATCCGCCAATGGATTTTATATATCATAAAGTTGTTGTTTTTTCATTTTTATTTTCCTTTGAAAAATCTTCCCAAGGCAGTTTTTATCTTTAAAATGACAAAACAAAACACAAACACACTGATCTATATCCATTAAAAAGAAATTGAGAGTGCTATTACTTATTTTTTTTATACAGGTTTAAAAAACGAATGCTAATAGAACAACTGGAGAACTTCTTGGATGAAATTCATCGAAGAGCCAATCAGATCAACCATATTAATAGCAATTAAAAGAAAACAGAATGTGGCCACTTATTTCAGTATCTTCTCCAAATACAAAGTAAATACAAGACTGTTGTGATCTTGCATTCATTTTTTGACATGCATTGTTGGCTATTTGAAATACTAAGAGCAAGTCTACAGATCCTTTTTCCATCATTTTACAGTGACCTTTTCTTCATTTTGGTTTATTTTTGTAATGTGAAAAATACCACTCTAAAACACATTTTTATTTAACAAACTAAAAATATTCCTCCAAATCTCTTGCTTGTCATTGACTCTTGCGTGTCAATTTCCCTCAGGTTCTATTTTCTTAAACCAACCTTTAAAATTGTCACCTCTGTTAAGGTTGAACTTTGCCAAAAAAAAAAAAAAATAAAAAAGAAGTTACTTTGTAATTTTTGGGGAAAAAAGCACATACATTAAAACTAGGTAATGTTTTGTATATACAGTTATTTTGGATATATTATTGTAAGTTGTACAAATGTATTTTGAAGAATATTTAAGAAAAGCACTTTTGTTATTCCATCAATAAATGCTCTATTTTACTCTTGTGTGGTTTAGGAAATAATCACATTTAAAGTAATCATTTAAAACCATCTTAAGGATAATGGAATTTTAAAGGCCTTGCTTTTTAAGCATTGGAAAAATACACCACTTGAAGTACATATTTGTTAAAGCTAACTGTAATTACCTGTTGCCTAACCTGCATTGTCTTTTTACTCTCTGTTCTTAGATTTTGTTGGCCACACCAACATACTCCCATTTCTGCGTAGCTAATAGAAATGACGGTATCTGGGGCAAATAGGCAGACACTTTAAAGGCTGTTTGAAAGCAGACATCTTTCATGTTGGTTTCTTTACTCTCCCCTTCAACACCTTTTTCTTTTCTCACTAAGTTGAAGCTATTACTTAGGAAGTTGTAAGTTTGGGGTACACCACATACTCTGAAACGTCTAGCCTTTAGCAGCTTGACGCCATGCTTACATACAGAAGTCCCACAAGAGGTGGGGGTAAGGGGGGGGCTCTTTGTTCTCCTCTGCTATTCTTATCCATAAACTCTCCATTTTGTTTAGAAGCTAAATGGAAAGGAAACATTTAAGATGACTTTGCTCATTGTGCATTCCCCTTGAATTACCCAGGATGAGGAAAAACCAACACTCTTTACTGTCCACTCACAGTCCAACAAGTCCTCACGTGTCTTCACTGAGGACATGACCCTATGACCAGACTCCCTCTCCTTTCATAGATCACTGCTGTGCCTTGTTGTGCTTTTGGGGGTAACCAGTAGAAAGGAAGGTTAAAATACATTTAGATTAAGAGAGGGCAAAATAAACTTATAAAATTAGAGTAAAATCAATGGAATATTAGTTTCATAATCTTTGAAAATCACATACCCTTATCTTTTTACACTTTAGCAAAACATTTTTAAAATTTCAAGGGTATAGCAGAATGCAGTTGTAACTTTTTATGAAGAAAAGCATAGATGAAAGTGGAGAACATGCTTGAGATCTCGTAATTTAGTCTAGGGGATTTGAAACTCTCCCAATGCTGAAGACAAATCCTGTCAAGAAAAAGAAGCATTTAATGTAATGTTACATAGTATTTTTCATATGCAAGTCTTTCAACCTTTTTTACCTCTACAAAATACCTTTAAAGCAGGATCTCCTTTAGTAGATGGAATTGTTAAGGTAATTACCTTCAGTCATTGCTAAATTCAAGAGTTACACAAAATCCAGAATATATTGTCTGGTCTTAAATTGTCCTTATGTATATTTTGATTCTGTGATTAATAGAAAGGATTACAAGTCATTCAGATAAAAGTTCATACTTAACAAGAACATTTAGGAAAGGGATTCAGTCCCTTCCAATGTTTAGCAGCTTTCCTCATCAGGAGGTTCTTATTTCCATTTTACAGACTGCTCATGAGGTAATAATCCTTTAGACCCTTCACCTTTACTACATTTTTTTGGGATGAATCCTTAGGGAGTTGGGAAGAAGCAGTTTTTTCAGTCTCCTCTTTCTGTCCTTAATCTCTCTGCCACCATACTCGATAGCCCACCTCATCCAAACCCTAGTCACAAGGTTTGAAACTAATCAAAACTCCATCTTAAGTAGCCCATCTCGCAGGTTTTTTACATTTTAAGAAACTGGGCATATTAGTTAAATTAGTAAAATACTATAGAATTCTTGTAAGCAAAGGGGAGGGAGAGGGAGTATGTTTGAGGGGAATATTCATGCCTTTTAGGCCTTTTAAGTCAACTGGGTGGCTTTAGGCTGGACAAATGATATTCTCCAACAGCTCAATCTTGAGTTTAAGGTCGTTTTTCTTAATGTTCCCACATGTGTCCCATTTGACGATGGATTCATTATTTGCCCTTATCGGTAAGGTTTGTCAATTCGGTGTACTGAAGGCTGAGACTGATTTCTATCTCTTGAACACCCCTCTCTCACCAGAAGAGTAGCCACTTGGCCTTGTGTGATGTGGGCAAAAACCTCCAGAAAGAGTGTAAATACACTCACAAGGACTATATTTAGATGTGCGGCAGATTATGGAACCGGTTTTGGATTAGCCTTTTATTTTCATTGTGTTTATTGAGGCAGTTCTGAAAACTATCATCGAAATAGTGGTGTGTCCTTTACTGGTTCAAAGGTTTTACGTCATTGTTATGCAGTTGAATTCCAAAAGAGAAATCGTTCTCTTTTAACTGTCATCAACCTTTATCGGCTATCCGCTTTTGACAATGACCTTTCTGTTGATGTTTAGTCCTGTCTCTGTTTCTCGAGGGAGTCGAACCTGTCATTTTTTTCATCTTTCATTTTTTTTTGACATGTATCCTTTCCAAGAGAGGGCTTTCTGTTGCCTGTTCTGAGTGATAAGTGACAATTTCATCTAATAAACATGGGGTTGGAAATGATCATGGTGAAATCCTAGGAGGATATATTCTGTTGATGGACTTTTTCTCCCCGAATAATCCCAAAATAGATTATTTCCTAGTGAATGATTATCTTCATCCTTTTTGTCACAAAAGTGTTCCTTTGATTTCTAGCACAAGTTACAGCAGTATGCAAATGATTCTCAGATAAAATGATGTTGACAGTATTTCCTTAACAATTTGTGTAAAACCTATGCGTAATTCTCATTATTCTAACTTTTGACTTTTTTTCTCTCCATAAATAAAAATAATGCCTGATGTTTAGTTAAAGTAGATCCACTTTTGCTTGATTTTGTTAGTCTTGTTCCATCCTATTTCTTTTTAACACATTGTTCCGACTTGCCAACAACTCTTTACTGAGAATCTCTTTTCCTTCCCAGGCTGCTAAATAATTTTCGGGGCGGCGGGGGGAGGGAGAACGTGGAGAGGAATAATCTGAGTACTTTGTTCACTGTTGAAGCTGAAAGGACCTCTGCTAGTCCTTCTGATGTGCTAAGGCCCTGCCTGCACCACACCGTCTCTGGCTTAGCATGAGGTTGTATAGTGGGACTTAGAAGTGCAAACACTTGACCTTGGCGTCATTCCAGCAAGCGTGAGAAAGATCAACAGAAAAACTAGAAATCCAGGGGCATCCACTAGGATTCTGGGGTTGCTGAGTCAGAAGACTCCTTGGCTGTGCTAGTGCCCTGGAGGGACTGTCTTTTGTCCTACTGTGATGAGAAAAGCGAGGCTACAACGGGGGGGGGGGGGGGGGGGGAAAGATTCATCATTTATTTTACCTTCATGATCTAAAGTCTCCCCAGAAGTAGAAACCCAAAGTTTTAAAAGTCCACGTCAACTAAAAATGAGCTGAAGGAGAAGTCAGACAACACGGAGGATATCCGTGTCCGTAGTTGCGGAACGCTCCCCTTTCTCAGGACAGGCGACAAGAAGCTTTGAAAGCACCATAGCAACTAGCCGGAGGAATGCTTGGTGTAGGCCCAGCGGGCAAGCGGGCGCTGGTTGCTAGAGAGCCGCGGATCCCTACTTAAGCAGCTGAATTCTGTCAAAAGCATACGGTCGGTCGTTACCTGTGTCGGGTTCTCTCAGGAGAAAGAAGAATGGCCGATCCGCCTTAAAAACAGGAATCCGAGACCTTTTCAGTAACAGCAGAGCTGCAGGAGAGAGCAAGGATAGAAGGATCCCATTGCATTTTCTATTCCTGGGAGGAAAGTCACTAAAACTGGAGATGAAGTCAGTTATATCCCTTGGTTTTTGAAAGAAATAAAAGCATCCTATTGGTATTTCATTGCTTAGTTGTTATGATGGGGGTGCGAGTGGGAAAATCAAAAAGATGTCACCCAGCCAACCCTCTGTCCCATTTTCAAAAAACTCCATGGAATCCATTCCTTAAGGTGATTTCCAGAATGGCTTCATTCCTTGTTTACGGGGATGATGGGGCAAGTCCTTTTCAAAATGGATTTCTCTTCGCCCATCCTTTTTAGACTCTTTGCTCTGTGTTAACATTTATTTTTTTTTTAAAAAAAAATGCTATGCCATATCTGGACTTGGGGTTTTTAGTGGAAGGTTTAGAAACGTGAAGACTGAGTTGGATAAACCTGACAAAGGCAGATAAGGGCAAGCAGCGTGACTAAACGCCGCCGACTCCCTTAGAAACCCACCTGTGGCTGTAGATGCCTTGGTGCCTTCCTCTGAAACCTCCATCTTGGCTTTATGAATTGCTTCAGAGACGTAAAAACCATCTTGGCCTAGTCTCAGGGAAAAAAAAAAAGTGAATTGCTTATTTCCATTTTTAATTGCATTTAGCTTAAGGATTTGAGTGTATTTTAAAGAATGCATTTCATTACAGTCTCTCATGCTGCCTACTATAGTGAGAGAGTGGAAAATTCTTAAGTTGCAATATTTTATGTGACTTTTAAAACCTCAGATTTGGTGAATTTAATAAATGATCCCACCCAAATTAATATAGAGAGCTGAGCCCTGTTTTTTTTCAATGAACTTTGTGGAAGGATTGCCGGGGTACAGTTAAAATGGATTCTGGAGGCCAAGAAACTGCTTTTTCAGCCAGCTTCTGAGATGATTTCCCTTGAATGCTTTCTTGGACTGTATTTTAGGAGCCGCTTTTAAATGACAGTCACAGGTTTGTCCCATAGACCTTAAAAGGCGTAAGTCGGTGTATTCAAGATGTGTGTGAGTCTGCAGGACCGCGTTCCGAACGGTGAGGTACGGCAGGCGTGCAGTGGATTTGTCTCCGGGGCTGGGCTAGGATCTGCCAAGACAGTGAGCGGTCAGAGCCGTAAGGGCTGTGGGCCCACGATGGCAGGGATCGAGGGAGCTTAGCAAACAGCAGTAGGAGCGATCACGTTAGAGGACTCCGTAGCCTTTTGTAGTCTAACCACCAACCGTGTGCAGACCGCTCGCCGCGGTGACGCGGTACTTGATGACTGTACAACGAAGGGAAACAGGAATCTAGAACTTCCATAGCGGAAACTAGTAGTGGCACCTGCCCTTTCCCTGGAGAACGAGCTGCGAAGTGTTCTGAGGTGACGCAGTTGGTGAGAAGTAGACACTGGGCACCTGCAGGTTTTCTGACGGTGCAGCGCCCGCTTCCACCCCACCCCACCCCCCGCCACACAGAATCAATCCCACCTTGCCAGAGCGTACCCTAGCCACCCGTAGCCTGCCGCTGGCGAGGGACCCGCGACAGGAGTCTTCAGTCCTTTCAGTTACGTGCTGCATTTTGAGAGAGCTTCTTGGTTTCAGCTTAGACTAATTGTTTTGCATTTTTATGCACATACAAGGAGATGGAAATGAATGTCGTGAGGCAGTAAAACCAGCCGCTAGAGGATATGCAGCAATTCATCCATCTTCCAAACAAGGTACACCCAGGAAGCTGTGAGCTGGCTGTATTTGCTGTAAGAAACAGTGATTCTCCAGCATCGTTGAAGGGGATCGGACAAGGGCCAGAGGAAGGGAAAAATCCATGGAAACATTCATCTGGTATCGCCTGTCCTAAAACCAGTGAAGAGTCTGATTGATTTTTAGCCGTTGGTCTTTTCCTGTAGATCTTTTAGGAAAGAAGCTTCCCTCGAATTCGTAGCTCCTCTCACTGGCTCACTGGACAAACGCGATGCAGTGCCAAAATTAGGGTTCTGCGGACAAGTAGTGGTCCTCCGCTGCCCAGGAGGTCTCACTGACCTGTGGCCTCACTACTGTGCCGGGTATATGGGCATCTCGAGTCCGTGCCCAGAAGTTAGCAGACGTTCGCTCTGAAGCTCTACCAGCTAAGGTCCAGTAAACGTGGTTGTGTTAGAGTCCAGGCACCTTGACACGAGGTGAAAAACAGGACCGATTGGTATGAGTGAGTCTTCGGTCAGACAGGCTCGGCTATTAGGATTTCTGGAGTTTCAGTTAAGTAGCCTTCCTCCATCACACCAGGACGGGTCCGAGGGTTTGCACCGCCACTGAGCCAGGACCCACGGCCTGTCTTGCCCTGGCATCCACACCTCTCTTAAGTTTTATCTCTGGGAGGAGCCAGACATTTCAGAAGACCAACATTTGTGATCAAACTGAGAATTCAGGAGTCATCTGTAGGTTTGTGTTTCTCTTCTTGCTTGATCCTGCATTACGGACCTCCATTTGCTTACTTCGTCAAGTATCTGTTCAAATGAGACCGCCCTAGAAGAATCCAAGCACAAAGGGGTTCTCCTGCCTTGGGCTCATCTTCTGCAGTGTTAGCAGCTCCTTAGCGCCGTGGGGGGTCATAGAGCCTATTTTCGCAAAAATTGTTTTCCCCAAGATTGCTTATAGGTGCTATGTTACGAAAAGGGATCCGTGATTGATTAAAATATGAAACGCAGGTTGAATAGTTTTGTGCTTCCGTTGTTAGAAGTGGACTTCTTAGAGCTGCTCATTTGCTAATGTTTGTCGTGGACCCGCAGGACTATAATGTGTAATGTTGAGCCGTGGAACGACACGCATCATCCCGTCTCTAGATTCACCATCTCAGCATTCTGGAAAACTACAGCCCACCATGAACCCGTTGGCTCCTAGATCACGTTTCACTATCCAAGGCCAAGTGTTAAGTTTCTTCCTACCCTCCTTCCTGGCACGGTCTCCCCTCTTCCATTAGATCTACAAGGATTCATGTCAACCTTTCTCTTTAGATTGTTAGCTCCTAGAAGGCAGAAGCTGCTTTATTAATTTTAAATATATATATATATTTTTTACTTTACTAACTAGCATAATAGTGTTGGTACATAATCGTGTTCAGTAAGTGTTGGACACTCCTCACATTATACCTTTGTTTCATTTTCCCATAAAAACAGCTGCCTTCATGTTCTTTAAGCTGATTTCACTTGTAAGGAAACGTTGGTTGGTATCTACAGAGTCAAAGGGATACAGCGCAGAATGGGTCTTTGGCAAATTTCGTCCAAATGACAGTTTCGGTGCCTCTTTCCCCTGGGTTCGTGGACACCATCATTTTTGTGTGTGGTTGATCATCCTCTCAAAAGGCTTAATTAAGCGTCTTCATAATGACAATGTGTAAACACAGGATTTGCAAAATGCAAATCGATGTCCCAACATCCGGCCCTCAGCTTCTCAAAATGCAGGGTCATTTGCTGGGTCACTTGTTTTTCCAATTATCGTCACTTCATATTGGCAAATTTTGTGGCTCTAAAAAAAAAAATTCTTGCCAGAATTCGCTTCTAGTTTATCTTTCTCGTCTTCTTATAACTTAGTCGTAAAAGACGGAGCGTGTCACGCAGCACCCGGCCCAGGATATAGAGAGACAGTACTAAAATAATTTGAAATGGCCTCTGAAGCCAGGCTGTGGTCAGCTGCTTTCTCCATTATTTTCCTCTAGCTCGCTTCTCCTGGCCACCTCCGCTCTACCGAGATAGAATTAATAGAACATTTTGTAAATGTAAGGTGTATCCTGTGATGATGAGATGTTGCCCATTAAGATTTGGTAACCCATGCATCACCTCACAGAGTCACGATTTTTGTGTTAATTTATAAGATCTATTGTCTTGGCAACTCTCAAATATATGAGAGTATATTGCTACATGCTCCGATTTATTTCATTTAGCCTAATGCCGGCAAGGTTTTTCTGTGCCGTTGCAAATAGCAGGATTTCCTTTTTTATGGCTAAATAATGTTCCATCTGTATCTATCTATATCTATATATCTATATCCGTATCTCTATATCTATATATGTCACAGCTTCTCCATTCATCGGCTGATGGACGCCTAGATTTTTTCCATTTCTTTGCTATTGTAAATAATGCTGCAATCGACATGGGGGTGCGGTTATTTCCTTGATAGTGGTTTAATTTCCTTTAGGCATATATTCAGAAGTAGACTTGCTGGATAAAGTGGTAGTTCTATTTTTATTTTTTGAGAAACCTCCATAGTGCTTTTTCCATAATGGTTTGACTGATTTAAATTCCCATCAGCTGTACAAAGTTTCTTTCCTCTGCATCCTTGCCGTTATTTGTTATCTCTTATCTTTCTAATAATAGCCATTCTAACAGGTATGAGGTCATATCTCACTGTGGTTTTGATTTGCATTTCCCTGATGATTGGTGATGATCAGCGCCTTTAAATGTATCTGTTGGTTATTTGAATATCTTTTTTGGAAAAAAAATGTTTATTCAGATCCTCTGTCCATTTAAAAGTCAGATTATTATTATTTTTATTTGCAATCAAGCTGTATGAGTTCTTAATATATTTTGGATATTAATCCGTTAGATGTGTGGTGTTCAAACATTTTCTCCCATTCCCTCGGTTGCCTTTTCGTTTTGTTGTTTCTTTTGCTATGGAGATACTTTTAGTTTGATGTAGTCCCATTTGTTTATTTTCGCTTTTGTCGCTAAATACTTTTGGTGTCAAATCAAAAAAAAAAAAAAAAGAAATCGTTGCCAAGACAAATTTCAAGGAGATTTTCTCTTATGTTTTCTTCTAAGAGTTTTATGGTTTCAGACACTTTAAGTCTTTAATCCATTTTGAGTTAATTTTTGTGAGTGTTGTAAGAAATGGGCCCAGTTTCATTCTTTTGCATGGGAATGCAACACCATTCATTGAACAGACTATCTTTTCCCCGTTGAGTATTCTTGGCTTCCTTGTCAAATATTATGGATTTAGTTCTGGTGTCTTGATTCTATCCCATTTGCCTGCATGTCTGTTTTTATACCAGTACCATACTGTTTTGATTACGATAGATTTGTAATAGAGTTTGAACTCAGCAAGTGTGATGCCTCTTAGCTTTCTTATTTCTCAGGATTGCTTTTGGCTATTTGGGGTCTTTTGTGGTTCCATATGAATTTTAGAGTGTTTTTTATTTTTCTATTTCTGTGGGAAATGCCATTGGAATTTTGGTAGGGAGTGCATTGAATCTAAGGATTGGTTTGCGTCATATAGACAGTTTAACAATATAAATTCTTCCAATCCATGAACAGACGAGGTTTTCCCATTCACGTTTGTCTTTTTCAATTTCTTTCATCAGTGTGTTAATAGTTTTCAATGTAGAGATATTTCACCTCACCTGGTTAGATTTATTCCTAATAAGTATTTTATTGTTTCTGATGCAACTGTAATTATTTCCTTTATTTCTGTCCCACATAGTTCGTTGTTAGTGTAAAGAAACACAAATTATATTCGTATATTCATTTACTTTAGTGAACTTGTTGATTAATTGTAATTATGGATGACTAGTACAATATTGGAGAATCTGATTTTGACTATA